TAACACCTGAGTTTCTCTTCCAGCCATGATGCGTTCAAGGACATTCAGGACATATTTAGCTTCATGGAGCCATGATGTTGTTTATCCACAGGGTGATATTTTCTGGAATGTTAGTTAAATATCTGTGACGTGTTTTAGACACATTAAACAAAACTCCACCCAGAACCAGCCAATACCAGTTGCTGAAGCTAACTGGGAGCAGCAGGTGATGCAGCAGCTCTGCAGCAAATTGGGTTTCCATAGCAACCCGATTTAAAGTTCATTCTGAACAGGTTTGATGACGAAACCTGTTGGTTCCAGTCAGACAGGTCGCCAGTCTGTCGCAGTTCAGCTAAACATGAGGAATAAAATTATTTTTCATATTCTCAGAAGAGGTTTGCATACAAAAATGTAATTTTGACTAGTGAAAACTAAATTATAGATATCTTAAAAGCAAATAATTACTAGACAAAACTAAATTAAAGATATCTTGAATTGTACTTTTGACTAGTCAAAATCCCTTTTAAGATGTCTCTAAATGAATTAGAGATATCTTAAATTATTCAGCTTTTCCATTTAAGATATCTTAAATCGTCATTCTGATGACGTCATTGATATCTTGAATTAGTATTCTGTCCAGTCAAAACGTCATAAATTGACGTAGCATTTTGGCGGACAGTGTGTAAGACATTCTAGCCTTAGGCTACTTGATTGTGCTATTCAGTGGTCAGCAATGTCAGGTCAGTCCAGCTCAAAGTGTTTTTAACACAATATTCAGCGCTGCAGCTCGTGCTCGACATGAATTAAGAAATACCGATAATTTACTCTCTGCAACAAGAAAACTTTTTCGACGTCAAGTGCAGCGAAGTCAAGGTAAGTGGATGTTCAGATGTCGGTTCATATAACTGTAGCTTTCCAGGTAGGCTACGTTAGCTTCATGCTAGTGGATAAAGAATTATTAATTGGGAAAATATAAGTAGCCTATTTAGTTGGCACTGGAGTTTTCTCCCGCCTTATAAAACATGGAATTGTCCAGTAAATGTTGCGTCCCGTATGAAGCGGTATGGGAAGCGATTTGTTGTGTTTGATTTGTGCCTCTCGCAGCAGCAACGGGCGAGAGGCAGGAAACACCCTGGACAGGTAGCCAGTCCATCTTTGTTCATTATGAGACATGAAAGTATTGGCTTTGAATTTTTAATTGCACAATCTTTATAATCTACATGATTTTTTGTTTGATTTGTGAAACTTCAATAAGCAGCTTTTTCAAAATAGTGATGTATGTAATGTAGCCTTACTTAAAATCACCTTATATGCAGCAGTTTCTCTCAATAAGGTCTTCATTGCCAAAATAAATATTTGTATGTATGAGTAATTGCTTTCTTGATCACGTCATTACAAAATAACACACATAACAAGTAATGTGGTTAACTTTGGGCATGTTGGCCATGAGAAGCCGTTCTTTATTGAAACCTATGAAAGGTGGCAACCCCAGTTAGCACACTCGATGCTAATATCAGTTAGCATCTATGGTGTGATTCTGTTGTGTTCATTGCAGGCTCAGCTGGGAGGCGGCCAAGCCCTGTATGGAAGACAAATATTTTCTTGCTTTCTGGCCCTAATATTGACATCCTCCCTTCTCCCTCGGATGTACAAAGACTGAAGAACCATGGATTAGGTGGGCATGTTTTTTTCAATAAAGACATTATTTCATATACCTGCATAATGTGACAGAAGGAGGCACTTTTGCTTTTAACATCTCCATTTGGGTTTTAATTCACCACTTCATGATAATTTTACTCTTTCACCAGAGTCATCTGGTAGGCTGATGAGTTCAAACTTAAATGGAGTGTTCTTTGTTATTGTGTTCAATATTGCTTTGTCACCATTGATTATTCAGGCAACCCTGTGCATGAGGGGACAGGAACCACGAGCTCCAAAATTAACCTGAATTGGAGCTTGTCTGAACTGAATAACTTTGTGTGTCAAAGTTACCCAAACATCAGCCTAAATCTGGTTGGCTTTGAGTTGGCAAGAGCTGGAAAAGGACGAAAGTTAAAAAAATTACAAGTGAATTCTGTGAGGGAGCTGAAGGAAAAGGTTGGCAAAAGCAGACTCTACATTCTACCACGAGCAGATGTGTCACAGGTATGGTTGTTTTGTACACAAAAATTATTTTGTGTAGTATGGTATATCCAGAGTAATGTGTTCCACCATAATGTGAAATGTCTTGGCCATCTGTAGGAAACCTACTCAACCTCAGCAATGTCCAGGAGTTTGTTTCCAGAACCCTCAACTGCACCAGAAGTACAGGATATCTCTCCAGAGGCTGAGAGCACCAACAGCCAACATTTAGGGGTAGAACAGGTTGACCATTTCAAGAACAATATATGCTTTTTAGTTTTATATCTTATTTCTGCTCTGTACTATATTCACAATAGACACTTCTAGATTGGCAATCTCTGCGGTCCCAGCAAGACAAAGAGTACGAGGAGTCTTTGTTAGCAGACCAAGAAAATGTGACTTAACATTTTTGTTATCAACATTTGTTGTTGCTCACATTTTATCTTCTACCAGGAAAGGAGAAGACAGTGTTACAAGGCCTGGGAGGAAAGACGCATAAAAGTAAGAACTATTACATTGTTAGGATGATAGTGGTTTATGGATTACCTACAGGTTTTAGTGTTCATGTTTTAGGCAATTGAAGAACGCCAGCAACGACTTGCACAATATAAAGAACCGTCAAGTGGACTGCTGTTGAAGTTCAAATATCCGAATGGATTTATCAGAAAGAGAACTTTCAATGTGTCTGACCCAATTCAGGTAATGTGTTCATTCAGAGCATGTATATTATTTATTTTCAAGTGACAGAAATTGCACTACCTTTTTTTTAAGGTCTTGTTTGACTTTGTTGGACAAGATGAAATGGCAAGTGAAATATTCAGTGTTCAACAAGCAACATCATCCACACCAATAGAGAGTACCTCGTCAGGCTCACTTATGGATCATAACAACATCTGCCACTCTGGACGTGGATTTCAACTCTAGATATTCAGGTAAAGTAATTAAGTCCAAATTCCATACAATGTTGTCTCAGTATTTTTTTTTTCCCCAAAATGTTTCAGAATGCCACAACTAGACTTTTGACTTTAATCCCAGAAACGAGAGCATGTAACACCAGTATCAACTTCTCTGCATTGACTACCAGTTTGTTATCAGATTTATTTTAAGTCTTTCATTGGTTTTTAAAACTTTACATGGCGTAGCCCCAGCTTTTTTTCAAGACCTTCTTCACAACCATTCCACCTCTAGAACACTTCAGTCAAATAATAAATTACTCTTACATATTCCTGGGACCAGACTAAGTGACAGCGAATAGGAGCAGCATTTGCTGTCACTGCTCCTAATCTTTGGAGCTTTAGATCTGTCCGTATTCTGGAACACTTCATATCGCTCATTAAAACTCATTTTTATACTTTGACTTTTTGTAAGGCCTGACATTGTAATTCACTTGTCTGTTTTAATTTGTGTTTTATTCTTATGTGTTTTTGTCTGTGCTTCATGAAAACTGTATAGACCTTTTGTGCAATTAATATCTGTTTTTAAAGTGCTTCATAAATAAAATTGACATTGACATGATTAGATTTTTGTTTTATTTTACTTAGGAAAGGTGTCCAGTTCAGGCGAATGGGGTCCTGGAGCAGTCACTGTCTTCTGTCCTAAGCCTACAGACATTGCTTTCTGACCAAGCACTGACATCTTTGTCAGCCCAGGCACCACTGGCCCCAACATCTCCTCAAGTGCTGTCGACAATGCCCGATTCCTCACAAACATCAACTTGGTTCTCCTCCCGGGTGCCTGTGTCCCAGCCCTCCACTCAAGTACAGCCAGTTTTGCCGTCTTCTGAAGTTTCTTTGGTTGCAGCCTCAGGGCAGCCCCTTTCCCCCCACTATATCCTAACTCCACATGTGATGACCATTGAGGAACAGGCACCAGCTTCTCCATTTACTGAGCAACCTATAATTATACTGGAAGACCAAGAAGAGCCACCTGAGTCTCCACAACGTCCACCAGAGTTGCCTTTGGATGAGTGAGTCAAAATTGCATATTCTGGCTGTCTTTTGTAATTAGTTTTGACAGTTTCAAACCATTGTTTACTCCAACAATGCACAATAAAATAGATTATTTTTTGCGGGACAGATCTTCAGACCATATTATACAGCAAGGTTGATATGACTTTCTGTCCTACAAGCAACCAAATAAATGTGTGCAGAGACAGGATTTTAGAATGTAGCCTGCATGCCTTCAGAAGACGCCGTTTTGATCCAGCAGCAAAACTGGATGTTATTTTTGTGGATGAGGAGGGCAGCGCTGAAGGGGCAGTTGATGAAGGTGGTCCCACACGAGAATATCTCAGACTGTTAATGAGGGCAATTCATCAATCTAATGTCTTTGAGGGGCACGAGAATGACCGCCATCTAGCTTTGGACACTAGTGGTCAGTATTATTATTTATTTATTTTTCCCAATTCTTAAGGATGGAAAACTGTCAAGTAACATTTTTTTTTCTTTAGCGTTGGAGTCAAAAATGTACAACTGTATTGGAAAAATGATATCAGTCTGTTTGGTGCATGGAGGCATTGGACCACATTTCTTCTCTCAAAGGCTGTATGACCACATTTGTGGCACATTGTCTCAACCTACCCTGGTTGAGGACGTTGTTAACCGTTCATTCAGAGAGCAGCTGATCAAAGTTAGTCACAATTTTAAGCATTTTGAATATTGATCATAAGCTTAAATTCAGTTTCACATAATTTTTTTTCTTTTTAGATTCAGGATGCAAACACAGTCGTGGAGGCAAACGAAGCCATTATGCAGGCAGCAGATACCCTGAGCATTGTTGGAGCATTAAGGCCTGTAACTACTCTGGAAGAGAGGGACTCCCTTGTGCAATCTGCTGCAGACTTCTTTGGAAATGGCCGAGTGTGCACTGCATTGCAACAGTGAGCAAGATCCTAATTTTTTCTATTAGAAATCTTGTTGTATTCTAAAGTATGACCATATTCTCATTTCTTAAAGGTTTGTGGAAGGTTTGAAGACTCTCAATGTGCTAGATGAGATTCAGAAAAACCCTGCAGTCTTTCATGAATTGTTTGTGAAACTGTAAGCACAACCGGTATCAATTAGATTCTGTGACCAATTTATCACCACTGTCCAAAAAGAAGCAATCATAGTTTGAGTATAGATGTAGGCTTTTTAAATGACTAGTGACAGGACCAAAAACAGTTAAATTGCTGGAAATGTGTCTTTCCTGGAAAGTCTTTTTCTTAAGCTGCCATAGAAATTGTCTTTTATCAGTGAATATAAATTGGATAATTTGTTGTATAAATGCATACTTTTACATATTATTTACAATGATCATGCTTAGTCATGGTTCATCTTCAAAATGTTTATTGATTTGTATTTACTAACAAGAAATGCATTGTCATCACTGATCTAACAAGATTGAGGAGGAACATGGACAGACATTGAACACATTTTCGTCCATGTCTTTAAAAGTTCACACTGGATGCCTTATATCAAAGGTCATCATTTCAACATTTTGTCTTTCAGAAGGAGAATGCAGTCCCGTTACCCTTGAAATGATACTGGAGTTCGCTTCCGGAGCATCCACGGTGCCTCCACTGGGCTTTCCCCATCGTCCTCAAATTGAATTTCTCCATGAGGCTAACAAAGTCTTCCCAGAAGCAAATACTTGCCTTATAATGCTCCGCCTTCCTGTACACTCAGACTATGAGTCTTTCACAAAGTACGTGAAAGAGGGGCTGCTGCAGGCACCTTTGGTGTTCCATAATCAGCCAATAAGTGTCCTAAGCAGTTCTTTTAAAAAAGAGTTGGAATGTTTTGAAAAGTTAAGTGTTTTAAAGCAAGTTATAGTAAAGGTAATGTAATGGACAAACTTGGAAAATATTGAAATGTAAATACAATATTTGCATTTTTTATTTTTTTGCAAATGTCTCTTTTAACCACTTTTTGGTTTCACAAATTTAAAGGTGTTTGAGCCACACTGCAAAAACAAAAGGTCTTATCAAGTATTTTTGGACTATTTTCTAGTGCAAATATCTTAGTACACTTTAGATAAAACTAACTTACATGTAACTTTTCATTAAGATATGAGCTTGTTTTAAGTCAATAATTTAGTATTGATGAAAAAGTAGTCCTTACATTGGCATATTAATTTCACTTCTAACTAGACATCTTTCCCTTGCTATAAGTGAAATAATCTGCTAATGTAATAAGTCATTTTTCATCAGTATTAAGGAAAAAGTGACTTAAAACAAGCTCATATCTTGATGAAAAGATACTTATATCTATCTTACTTGTGTCTTATTTGAAGTGTAGAAAGATTTTTGCACTGGAAAATCTTCGGTAAGATTTTGTTTTGCTGTGTAAATGGGCATTGTAGTTTATTCTTTTGTAATGGGTGTTCTAGATCACTGCTCATTTGGATTAAAAACAAAATCAAATTCTAAAGAAGCTCAACGGATCCAAAAGAGGCATTTGAAAATGGGTTTGGGAGACACTAGTCATTTATACATGAACATTTTCAAAAGTAGAATTTTTATTTTTCCTGCAGAATGTACATTTAATTTGTCATGTCTTTAAACACCTTAACATTTTATAATTACATCTGTAAGGTTACCTACTCACGTTAATTCCAAGTTTTATTTGTATCTTAAGAACAATGTATTTGATCAAATGTTCTTGATGTTTGTCCCTCATAGTGACATGTATTTAAATCAATAAAGCATTTGCCATTTCTGCACAACAGGCCTGGTATTTCACCTTCAGATCAGAAATATGATTGACTGCATGATTAACTGAAGTTGCTGCTGACTGAGCCTGGTTTGAGGTGCTTCTACAATTACACTAGGGACCTGCTCAGCATCAGTGGTTGGTAGTGGCCAAAGGCCATGATGAAGTTCTTCAAGAGTCTCTGGTGCGCTGGAATTTTCACCAAACACGTTGTTAGTTGCTGTGCTGTTGGCACCCATGTTTGCCAACATCCGTTCAGTCCAGATTTGTGTTGGTGTTTTGTTGTTTTCTGTACGCAGGGAATGGTGGTTCCATGCTTTCCTGAATTGTTCTAGTCGGCTTTGAATCTCAGGAAGAAAAACTATGAAGAGAAAGTTTGTGCACATCGTCGCTGGGATCCAAGAGGGCTGAATCTTAAAGATGATAAAACATGCTGTAAAATGGTTCCAGAACATGTAAAAACACATCCCTCCAAAGACGCTCTATTCTCTGATTATGGATGGATTCCCCAGTGATATGACTCCGACGTTCAGTGCCCTGTAGGAGGTTCATCACCAGGGCCACTTGCACATTCCCGCCACCATGATCTGACCTCACTCTAGAAGGTGAGCCATAGAGGCCTGTTGCCTTGAGAAAATGAAATGGCACTGTTGAGGCGCGATTGTCTGCTACAGTTCAAATAATTAAGCGAGAACATCCATCGATGCCACCATGGACTACAAAGCCCCACCTAAATGGAAATAGAAAAAATGTATAAGAAATAATATATGCAAATGTGTATAGAGAATTTAGCTTTAAAAAATTTACTCTGAAATACATCCTTGATATTTTCAGATACCTTATGAGACGCATGTTGCCATCAATATGCCATAAACTGTTGGGATACGGGACATGATAGTCACTGTGCTGCTCCACCTCCTTGCAGTCGCCATGGCGTTGATTCGAGCCATCATCTCACGGACTTTGCGCCGTGGAACCACCAGTCCTTGTGCATGTAACAAGCCTCGCATCATCTGGTTCAATGAAGGACATGTGGTCTTACTATATCAAACCACCACACAATTTTACATTTTGAAAGTAATCTTTTACAAAATATAGGTTTCAGATTTCACATCTGATCATAAAATAAATTAATTTTTTTTAATCATCATCATTTGTGACACTTAACATTAAATAATTAGTATTCTGCACCACCACTGTTGAACATATTATTTGTTCAGAAGCAATATATTTAGATTCCATACCTCAGTTCCAGAATTTGGATACAGGGATTGTAATTGTCTGATATTAGTTTCAAGGTCTTCATCAGTCACTGCCTTCCCCTTATTGGTGCACCAAGTGCTTTGGACTTCTTCTAAAGAAATGATGCTGAGCATCCAGAGATGTTTGCCATCCTCTTGACCGTNTGAGTGAGTCAAAATTGCATATTCTGGCTGTCTTTTGTAATTAGTTTTGACAGTTTCAAACCATTGTTTACTCCAACAATGCACAATAAAATAGATTATTTTTTGCGGGACAGATCTTCAGACCATATTAACAAAACTATACAGCAAGGTTGATATGACTTTCTGTCCTACAAGCAACCAAATAAATGTGTGCAGAGAGGATTTTAGGATGTAGCCTGCAAGCCTTCAGAAGACGCCGTTTTGATCCAGCAGCAAAACTGGATGTTATTTTTGTGGATGAGGAGGGCAGCGCTGAAGGGCAGTTGATGAAGGTGGTCCCACATGAGAATATCTCAGACTGTTAATGAGGGCAATTCATCAAACTAATGTCTTTGAGGGGCACGAGAATGACCGCCATCTAGGTTTGGACACTAGCGGTCAGTATTATTATTTATTTATTTTTCCCAATTCTTAAGGATGGAAAATTGTCAAGTAACTTTTTTTTTTTCTTTAGCGTTGGAGTCAAAAATGTACAACTGTATTGGAAAAATGATATCAGTCTGTTTGGTCTGTTTGGTGCATGGAGGCCTTGGACCACATTTCTTCTCTCAAAGGCTGTTTGACCACATTTGTGGCACATTGTCTCAACCTACCCTGGTTGAGGACGTTGTTAACCGTTCATTCAGAGAGCAGCTGATCAAAGTTAGTCACAATTTTAAGCATTTTGAATATTGATCATAAGCTTAAATTCAGTTTCACATAATTTTTTTTCTTTTTAGATTCAGGATGCAAACACAGTCGTGGAGGCAAACGAAGCCATTATGCAGGCAGCAGATACCCTGAGCATTGTTGGAGCATTAAGGCCTGTAACTACTCTGGAAGAGAGGGACTCCCTTGTGCAATCTGCTGCAGACTTCTTTGGAAATGGCCGAGTGTGCACTGCATTGCAACAGTAAGCAAGATCCTAATTTTTTCTATTATAAATCTTGTTGTATTCTAAAGTATGACCATATTCTCATTTCTTAAAGGATTGTGGAAGGTTTGAAGACTCTCAATGTGCTAGATGAGATTCAGAAAAACCCTGCAGTCTTTCATGAATTGTTTGTGAGGAGAAACCACTTTCAGCACGAGACCTGTGCACACTTTTCCAAGTGTGTTTTTCTGTGCAAGGCAGCAATAAAAGGAGGATAGAAAATCAAACCATATGCTACTGGAGAGACTGGTTGGTGGATATTGAAGGTACATTTATTGTGATACTTTAAGCACAACCGGTATCAATTAGATTTTGTGACCAATTTATCACCACTGTCCAAAAAGAAGCAATCATAGTTTGAGTATAGATGTAGGCTTTTTAAATGACTAGTGACAGGACCAAAAACAGTTAAATTGCTGGAAATGTGTCTTTCCTGGAAAGTCTTTTTCTTAAGCTGCCATAGAAATTGTCTTTTATCAGTGAATATAAATTGGATAATTTGTTGTATAAATGCATACTTTTACATATTATTTACAATGATCATGCTTAGTCATGGTTCATCTTCAAAATGTTTATTGATTTGTATTTACTAACAAGAAATGCATTGTCATCACTGATCTAACAAGATTGAGGAGGAACATGGGCAGGCATTTAACACATTTTCTTTCATGTCTTTACAAGTACACATGGATACCTTATATCAAACGTCGTAATTTCAACATCTTGTCTTTCAGAAGGAGAATGCAGTCCCGTTACCCTTGAAATGATACTGGAGTTCGCTTCCGGAGCATCCACGGTGCCTCCACTGGGCTTTCCCCATCGTCCTCAAATTGAATTTCTCCATGAGGCTAACAAAGTCTTCCCAGAAGCAAATACTTGCCTTATAATGCTCCGCCTTCCTGTACACTCAGACTATGAGTCTTTCACAAAGTACATGAAAGAGGGGGTGCTGCACTCACCTACCTTTGGTGTTGCATAATAAGCCAATAAGTGTAATAAGCAGTTCTTTTAAAAAAGAGTTGGAATGTTTTGAAAAGTTAAGTGTTTTAAAGCAAGTTATAGTAAAGGTAATGTAATGGACAAACTTGGAAAATATTGAAATGTAAATACAATATTTGCATTTTTTGTTGTTGCAAAGAATAGATATCTCTTTTAACCACTTTTTGGTTTCACAAATTTAAAAGTATATGCTTGAGCCACACTGCAAAAACAAAAGGTCTTATTAAGTATTTTTGGACTACTTTCTAGTGCAAATATCTTAGTACACTTAAGATAAAACTAACTTACATGTAACTTTTCATCAAGATTCGAGCTTGTTTTAAGTCAATAATTTAGTATTAATGAAAAAGTAGTACTTACATTGACATATTAATTTCACTTCTAACTGGACATCTTTCCCTTGCTATAAGTGAAATAATCTGCTAATGTAATAAGTCCTTTTTCATCAATATTAAGGAAAAAGTGGATTAAAACAAGCTCATATCTTGATGAAACGTTAGTTATATCTTACTTGTGTCTTATTTGAAGTGTAGAAAGATTTTTGCACTGGAAAATCTTTGGTAAATTTTTTTTATTTTTTTTATTTTTGGCTGTGTAAATGGGCATTGTAGTTTAATCTTTTGTAATGGTTGTTCTAGTTCATGCAATGAACACTGCTCATTTGGATTAAAAACAACAAAATCAAATTCTAATGAAGGTCAAAGGGTCCAAAAGATGCATTTGAAAATGGGGTTGGGAGACACTACTCATTTATACATGAACATTTTCAAAAGTAGAATTTTTATTTTTCCTGCAGAATGTACATTTAATTTGTCATGTCTTTAAACACCTTAACATTTTATAATTACATCTGTAAGGTTACCTACTCACGTTAATTCCAAGTTTTATTTGTAGTACTTGTATCTTAAGACGAATGTATTTGATACAATGTATTTGTTCTTGATGTTTGTCACTCCTTCTCAAACATAGTGACATGTATTTAAATCAATAAAGCATTTGCAATTTCTGCACAACAGGCCTGGTATTTTGGCATCAGATAAGAAATATGATTGACTGCATGATTAACTGATTGAAGTTGCTGCTGACTGAGCCTGGTTTAAGGTGGTTCTACAACTACACTAGGGACCTGCTCAGCATCAGTGGTTGGTAGTGGCCAAAGGCCATGATGTTGCAGAAGTTCTTCAAGTCTCTGGTGCGCTGGAATTTTCACCAAACACGTTGTTAGTTGCTGTGCTGTTGGCACCCATGTTTGCCAACATCCGTTCAGTCCAGATTTGTGTTGGTGTTTTGTTGTTTTCTGTAGGCAAGGAATGGTGGTTCCATGCTTTCCTGAATTGTTCTAGTCGGCTTTGAATCTCAGGAAGAAAAACTATGTGAAGAGAAAGTTTGTGCACATCGTCGCTGGGATCCAAGAGGGCTGAATCTTAAAGATGATAAAACATGCTGTAAAATGGTTCCAGAACATGTAAAAACACATCCCTCCAAAGACGCTCTATTCTCTGATTATGGATGGATTCCCAGTGATATGACTCCGACGTTCAGTGACCTGTAGGAGGTTCATCACCAGTGCCACTTGCACATTCTCGCCACCATGATCTGACCTCACTCTAGAAGGTGAGCCATAGAGGCCTGTTGCCTTGAGAAAATGAAATAGCACTGTTGAGGCGCGATTGTCTGTGCTACAGTTCAAGTAAGTAAGCGAGAACATCCATCGATGCCACCATGGACCACAAAGCCCCACCTAAATGGAAATACAAAAAAATGTATGCAAATGTGTATAGTGAATTTAGCTTTAAAAAATTTACTCTGAAATACATCCTTGATATTTTCAGATACCTTATGAGACGCATGTTGCCATCAATATGCCATAAACTGTTGGGATACGGCACATGATAGACACGTCGAGTCACTGCGCTGCTCCACCTCCTTGCAGTCGCCATTGGGTTGATTCGAGCCATCATCTCACGGACTTTGCGCCGTGGAACCACCAGTCCTTGTGCATGTAACAAGCCTCGCATCATCTGGTTCAATGAAGGACATGTGGTCTTACTATATCAAACCACCACACAATTTTACATTTTGAAAG